ATCGGGATGTCATGGTCAAGGTGGAAATCAACTATTTCGTTTAAATGTCGAAGGTGAATGGTCATCGGATGAACATTGTTTTGTATCTCATGGTGATTCTGTTGGGACACAGTAAGAAAAATCCTTTTGTCTTGAGATATTCATAAAATAATTGTTTTTTTTCTCATAGACACTGTGTACAAATGGGTAGATGGATTCCAAAAGGTGAATGGAAATATGGCAATCAAACACGGCAAATACGTTCAATGAAAGTTAGTAAATGTTTAGTAACGGATGACAAACGTTTAAGTTTGGAATCTTGTCAAACTAATAATCAAGCACAACAATGGAAATGGAAAGAAATTTATGTTGTATGAATAATATGAGAATTATTATAGAATACAAAATCCTCATCATTATTTCGAAAAATCTCAATGTGATACTTTGACTTTTCTATGATAATTTTTCTTATTTATGTTTTCTTATAATTACTGTTCAGAAATTTCGACTTAACATCATATTATTGTTATGATACCTTTTATGGTTTTTTTTATTTAGAATATGATTAAATTTATCTTTTCAATTAATAGAAATCTAACCTAAAATGTGATTTCTTTTGATTCTACTAATACAATTAATACAATAGATGGAAACTTGTAGATCTATCTTTTCAAAGAGTAGTATGTTAAAATTTAACCAGAACACGTTTTCTTGCTTTTCTTTTTTGACAATATATGTGACTAATCTAATGTTTGTTTTTTTAATTGAGCAATATCACATGTGACGTAGTTTAAATTAATGTTCTAAAGTATTTTATGTTTTTGTGTACTCAAAAAGTGAGTACACTCTAGAATCGGTCAGTGTGTCCGTCCGGTCGTAGGCACGATAACTTTCGAAAGGAGAGTCAGATAGTGATGAAATTTTCCACGCAGTTCAATCTCATGAATATCTCGGTCGAGTTCGAAGATGAGAAGAATCCCTCAAGAAATGGTTGAGTTATCGAAAAAATTGTCATTTTTGACCAGGCCATGCCTTG